GCGGGCTGTCTAAACGCCTTCAAATTTGCGCTGATTTGACACAAAAATGTGATGTAAAGTAGTCGACGCTTTGCTGCTTTCGAGTCGCTGCCTCAAAATGCAAATTGTGCATGAATATTTACCCCTGTCCTCCCGGAAAAGGTTTCTGTTTACGCTTGTTTTGCTATAACTACAATTTGGGAACGGGTAGCGATGGCGGGGTTTTGGGCCTGGTCGAAAGTTTTCCTGCTCCCTGTTATAAATTTTGTATCCACCAGATACTTACAACAGCTTTGTGGCACTTCGCCTACATGTGGATGCTATGGCAACAAAAACAGAGGAAAAAACACCGAAAATCAACAACTTGAAATGCAGAGAATATACTTGGCCCAAAGTTTCCGCAGGGGAAACTTTACTGCAAGTAATGATTGTCAAAAGAATGCCTTAGTGCATTCGATACCAAGTCAAAAGGGCTTTTAACTTACATGAATTGGGGCTATGGGAATAGTTGATGAATTTGTTTGTTGCATATGAGACAATATATTGCGGAGGATGGACTTTTTTAATTATAGTAAATTCTTTCGAAATATCTTTACAAAAATCTTTTAAGCACAAGGTAAAATTGTTTCTGCTTCCTGAACTTCCGAACCTTTATTGGTAGTTTCCCTTAGCCCTATTGCCATATAGATTTTATATCCCCAACTGACATTGATTAACAAAAATATCACGCCCTAGCGCTAATTGAACATTTAGCTTAATGGGAATTCATAAATTGCTCGAATATGTTCAGCTCGACGGAAACCCTCAGAAAGTCAAGACGAAACAAGTCTCCCCAGACGGAAAGGTATTATTTGCGGTTTATAGCGCAGGTGATTAATGCCTGCAATAAATAGTATACTACCAGAAAAAACCCGAAACTAAATACGGATGAGTCAAAACGGGGCTGGACAAACACAGCCCAGCCGATCGATATTCAATATCATTTCAAAATGAGGCCGCCACATGCGAAATAATTTTTACACACGCTTTGGAATTGTTGAGGGCGCCATGGCGATTTTAAATATTTGTGTTTCGGAAAGCAAATTAATTAAAACTACACGTACGAAGGTTGCTGGGCGCCTTTATTGAATTATTTTTGTGGCATTTCGATTTTCAATGCTGGCCAAATGGCGCCACAGCCTCGTGTAATTAGATGCGCATTTCGGCCAGAACCACTTTGTTCAATTCCAAAGTGATCTAAGCTCACAAAATTCCAAAAATAATATGCATGCCCATCTTTCTTACCGATGAAATGTTGATGTTTTTGTTATGATTTTGGCTTGAGCAGAAATATGGAAACAGGTTTCGCCCAAAAATATAAACAAAGCCCGGCTCAAGTCATTTGTGAAATTTTTTCATCGACTTCATGTGGACCCCATGCATTTGTGTATTCATGAATTTCAACCGAAAATGAATAAATCTTGTAAAAGCTATTCTGCAGAATTTTTGCATCTGTTTCGAAGGTTTTCCCTCCAGACTCTCTTAAAAAATATTTCAGATGAGTCAGCAAAAAAAAACATCAAGTGGTGACCGGAAATTGGAAGTTGCTGGTTAAGTCATCTCAAACAATCTTAGCCAAAATTACTCACAGGTAATTCAACTGTTTACCTTGTCGAGGGGCAATTTGTTTCAAAATATAAACGACATTCATTTGATTACAAGCTATAAAGTAAACTGTTTAAAATGTTATGAAGCAAATATTGAAACAATTTCGATTTGTCTGGAGACATACATATCAGTTGATTTTTGGTCGCCCTCAGTGTTTCTGTTTATTTTCTTATCATTAAAAGTTGTATATTTATTTACTTCACTTTTTGACCAACAGTTGTCACAGTTGGTCAGTAAAAAAGTGTATATTTGACTCTTATTGGATTTTGAGCAAATATAATGTCCAGGTGAATCAAGCAACTGGGTATTTTTCAATGCCAGATGTGACGTAGGAAAAAAATTAAATATAAATTCGTTTCCTGGTAACCAATATGCAGCAAATTAATTGATTTAATATTTAGTGAGCGAAAAATGCCCGAGAGTAAATCCATTTTTTTCCCCTATTTATTTATGTGGCTTAAGTGCCTATATTAAATTTATGTTTTCACTTTTTATGGGTGGGCAATTAAAAGAAAATTATATGTGGGGGTAGTACCCTGACTTAGTTAATCCATCCGATTTTTGCAGGCTGTTTTCGTGGCTATTTTGTACGTAAGAGGTTTAAGTTTTGAAAAATGCTCATTATTTAGCCATGCAAGCCATGTACATATCTGCGATGCCACGCAATGTGAGCAAAAAGTTGGAAGACGACCAACAGCAATTCAAATTCAACACATTTTGCGTTTCATTCATAAAAATTCACAAATATTTTTGGCCATATTGAAGATATGTGCGAGTTTGTCGGCGCTGGATTTTGGTTTTATGGTCTGTCTGCACTACTTTAAATGGGTCCACGTGCCGTGTTTGTGGGCGAGGGGCGGGGCCGGAGGCGGGGTTCAAGTGCCCCCTCTTCTTCAAATCGGTAATGAGCGTTGTTAAAATGCGTTAAATGATTTTTTGCAGTTTGCGACTTCTTTCTGGTCTCCGCTTTCGTCGTCGCCTTGTCTTTGTCGTTTTGCAAGCCATTTGTGCACTGTGTTTGATTTGTTTGGCATGCCTGCCTTTGGTATTTGCCTATGAATGAAGTGGGTATATTTAAAGTGGTAACGGCTTTATACTAGCCACATTGCTTATACTTCATTCTTGCGCTTCTTTGTTGCGGCTTAAGTTGAAAGCATGAGCATTTGGGTCTGCAGGAAGTCTCAAGTTGAGTATAATAGATATAAAAGTAAGATATATCAAAATATTCCTTATTCGGAAGTCAGTTAAAAATAATTTAATATTAATAATCAATATAAAATATACAAAGCATATTACCCCCCTTAAAATACTTTCAAATACCTATTTAAAATGCCCCAATTGTTCTGACCCAACTTACCGATCTTAAGTTAAGTTGTCTTCTCTGACTGGTGACAATTTTGCTAGGTGCTTGTGCGCACGTGAAAGATATATAGTCAGGTAAAAATGGAAAACATCGCTGAACTATCATCAACACGCGACATTGTCAGAGCATATTGCTTAATCTCACGTAACAGAAATTATTCTATAATAATTCTCTTAACTCTACGCGGTCGGACAAAAGATTTCGCATGCATTTAGATGTATGATTTATATTTATTTGTGTGTACTTCAACAACACACAATTCATTTAAATGGCCATCCTTAACCTTGAACCTCGGGCATTAGTGCGCCAAAGTTAATAATTTAAATCAACTAATTGCGGCCATAATAAACAAATTTATTTACGGATGACTGTGGGGCGCCTGACCGACAACAAGCTGCGAAAATTTCTATAATCGTGAAGAAACGACGCTTAATTTGCAAAGAATCCCCAAATGAATGTGCCAAAAATTGAGGAACAAGATTTCAATACAATACTGGCTGGCTGAATTAACACGCTATAGAAGCTGTCAGAAAGGAGAAAAAACCCACAAGAAAAGTTCACAAGCCACGGCTAAAAGGCAGACACGCGTGGCTTGCCATTTGTTTATTGTTGATTTACTTGCCTCTGTTGTAGTTGTAGTTGTTGTTTGTGGATAGCTATAGCTGGATAGCCCAGCGACAATGCCATTAAGCTTAATGTTTATTATCTATACAGCAAGCCTACATGAAACAGACAAACGGCAGACAGCCAAACGACGGCTGAGGAAAAAATTGTGACAAGTAGCAATGAACCTTGTAAGGTCTGGGCTGCTGCCGAATGGCTTTATTTCATCTGCCCCACACATCATACAACACACATTGGCGGCAGTGGCAATAATGGTAACAGAGCCTCATACATTTTGAATACATTTCAAACACCTGTAATCGTAAAAATCAGCACTTAGTCACTGCCAGTCGAAATGCAAACAATTTGTGAACGCTAAAAAGTACACAGAAATAAAGAGCAAAATGAAATAGTACATAGTTGGGGGGGCATTTCAATTGTTTGTCAGTGGTATCGCACAGGTAACTGAACTATGTATGTTTACGAAGCAAAACAATCTCTTAGACACCTCATCCACCATTTAAGGCGAATTAACCAGAAGTTTTGTTCGAACAGTTTCATCGAATTCGAAGGAAGTGTGGGTAAACATATTTCGAGTATTCCGAGGAAAGCTGATCACCTCAAGATTTTCAACACCTGAACAAATTTTGTTGTCAAGCTAAAACTATTGACTGGGAATTCCCATAATTAAGCACTTTGGGATTTAATCAAGTTTTTTGCTTTAGTTCTTAGTATAAATATCGTACATAGGAGCCAAAAACTATTAATTTAAAATAATAAGTTATTCTCAACTTTGGGAAATGGATAAGAAGATCTGTTCTCAATTAAAAATACTACGATTTTACGTTATTTATTATTTTATTTGAGCCAATCTTATAAGGATCAATGTACTTTCAGGATCTTCTGTTCTCAAAACATAAATTTTTTTTTAAAGAAATTATTTGCCGTATGGTGATTTTTATCACAATAGCAACGAAATTTAGTGGAAGGGGTTCATAGTTCAAACATTTAGTTATTAAACAAATTAATACATTTTCAAAAAATTAATAATGCAAGCTCGATCAGTTTTGTGCATTTCATTTAGAAGACTGTTTTAGTCTCGATTACTTCCACATTTCCTTGACTATTGCACATAAGCCGTATATTTACGGCCAATAAATATTTTGGCGCATTTTGCCCCGCTTCGTTGGACTCAAAATCACCAAGCTAACCCTCCTGAACAAAAACAAATTTCTTGTTCAATAATTTCACTCTTGGCAACCGACAATCAACAACTTTTGTATAAGTTTTGTTGCTATTGCTATTTATAATAAGTGTCCCCTAGTTTGTTGTGCCTAATACTTGCACATATGTGGCTATATAGTATATGGTATATAGTACAAATCGACTTGCACATGCAGACACTTACGTTTTGGGGCCGAAATAAATATTTCGCGCTTTTTCGATTTGAGGCGCGCGATGCGATGGGCTTAAAGAAATATTTTCTGATTATCGCCGAGCTAATGTTGTTGCTGTTGCTGTTGCTTTTTGTCGGTTTCTGCCTCGCTTTTGGCCTTACCCACGTTTCTTGCGTTTTCTTTTGCGTTTTTTTATATTTTACATATATGTTATGTTTTAGTGCTTTTCCAATTTCTTATTCACTTCATGTCTGCGCCCGCACACAATCACACACTCACTGGCGAGTCGTTCAGCATAGGGAATACGCACTGTATTGGAGCTTTTTCTGCTCGGGCCTTTAGCCGATTTTCAGCCGCGACGTCAACGTTGAGCGCTCGAAATCTCGTTACTAACTAAAATAAACGAAGCGCGGTCCGACAAAAAAATCGACATCAGAGTTGCGATGTTTGCCTTTTGTTGTTGCAGCCGTCGGCGGTAACCAAGCTCGCTCACACACACACCCACCCCGCCCCGCCCCACCCTGCCCTGCCCCCAATGCACGCCCCGGCTTCGAACGGCGGCAAGTTCAAGTCGCAATGTTAGGCTTGAGCGGCGATGTCGGATCGGCTCTTTTCCAGCAAATGTTGATCGAAATGTGGAGTTTTATTAAGGTTTTACAAGAAACATATCCCCGCATTCGCACATTTAAATTATTTATCACATTTAATTTAATTTAATTATCATTTTTAAACATATGCTAAAAAATTATTAATTGAGTGGTAGGTTAATACCTTTCCTATTTTATAAGTAAGAAATATTAAAAAAGGTATGAAAATTATAAAAATTGCGTTTTTAACTCGAAGTTTTGTTACCTAAACAGATTTTTCTTTTGCTTAGTAGATTTTTGAGTTAAAAAACCGAATTTTTATAGAATGTATCTTGAAATCTCATACCTAATAACTAAGTTTTAAAATTAATTTTTTCCACTCATGTTTTTGAACGAAAATATTTTTTTTTAACTGAAAGTTTTTAGTTACTCAAAATATTTTGAATTTAAACTTAATAGAAAAATTATGTTAAAGTTTGGTTTTCCTTTTCTTTTCATAACTAAATCTTAAATATCAAAACTAAATGCAACAAAATTTGGTAAACAACTACCGATATACAGTCAAGGGAAAACCGAAAAAATAAAAAATATAACATTCTTAATTAAAGTTAAATACATATCTAGCTATTTTTCCTCCGATTAGGACATCACTGTGCTTGAGCCGGCTACGTCGGCGCTGATTTTAAGTTCGAAGCGAACTTTCCAGCCCAAGATCGAAGACAAAACTTGCGAGCCGGCAAAAATTTAATTTGCTGCTGGATTATTCGCAACATGTTGCTTCCGCTGGGAAGTATGTTTTATTCCCAATACATTTTTCGTATTTTGAATGGCTAACGATAAATAGATTTCCTTGATTTCTTAAACATTTTGTTTTATTTTGTTTAGCCACCCTTAGAAATCTAGCCAATTTAAAATTTGGCAAAGTTTAACCGAGTCGAGTCCTGAGAATATTAAAAATTTTAATTTCCCCGCCGGGCTTCGACTTTGCACCTTAGTGGATTCCACAGACTGCTTTTTGTGAGTCCCACCTTTGTTGCCAGCGGCAACTGAGGCTGCCTGATGACGTCTAATTTTTCCCGAACTCGTTTGCTTACTCACACACGAAATTATGTCAGGAATGTTGGTGGGACCCGGGCTATCTGAACGGTGGTTGTTGTGGCCGTCCGAGGCTGACCGTTGAAAGTCGGTTGATTAATTTGGAATCGAGAGTGTATCCATGGGCTGGACTGTTTGTGGAGCGGACCAAAAAGCCGGTTAATAGTCAAACATTTTGGTCACTTGGAACGGGAGGCGCGTGCCAAAGACCCTCTCTTAAGTTGGCCGTTGAGAAACTGCATTCCATTTGTTAGTCTGGGCTTATCCCTTAGTCACAACTAACCAAAGTCCCTTAGGTGCTGACTCACGTTCTGGGTAAAAAGATCAGGTGATTTCGTTTACGGGTCAAAAAAACCCAATAAGCCATTGACTTCAGTTTACGATTACCATTTCTGCAGAGTTTAATAATCGCATTTCAGTTGTTAAAAGCAAATTTAAGTGTTTTTACGGTGCGGTCAGCAAGTCTACTTACCTTTGCCAGCCATCTCATTCGTTCCGATTTCGACAGAAACCGTTGAAAACAGCAGTATTATTCTTTTTTAGCCACGCGACTTTATCAATTTCTACCGAATTTGCATAAGTATGATCGGGTGACGATAATGCCAGACAGCATTTTCTTTTACTTGTAAAAAAAAAGTACAACTTCTTTATAAAATATCTAGTAATGACGAAATAATAATGTCTGACTTTTTACAATTTATTTCCTAGTACAGGAAAAATAATGTTTTCACAGCAAAGTTATTTGATGCAATAAATACATTTTATTTGGCTAAAAAAGATAGCTTAAAACCGTTACTTTTGGCAAAGCGTCTTTATTAAACCTTTTTATTTCAATTTCCTAAGCAATATCTTTCAGTTTCCTGTGTTTCTGCCATTGACATATGTCAAAACCTGAAATATGAGAGGAGGCTGAGCTGATTGAAAGAGATACGCGTGCTCTATCTTAAAAAAAAGGGGAAAAAATGTCAATCAGAAGTCAAACCGCGATACTCACTCACTGCAGTAGAAATTTCCGTTAAAAATAGAAACACAAAAACGCGATTCTAAATGAAACGAGTAAAAACACTCCCGTCGAGTGTCCCGACTAAGCTAATACTTTTTTGAATGGCCATATTTATTTTTAGACGTACCATGAATTTGAATTTATTTTTAAAACAATACCAGTTATGTTTTACGGTAAAAAAATTTTATTTTATTTTTTTTGTGAGACCATATTTTATTTTACATCTTATTTCCAAGCCAACAAAATTTTCTGGAATATCCTTTTGTCAGGGTATCGCACTCCCCGTTGTGTCTGGGGATTTTCTACATTTTTGCCATATAAACAAATAGGAATAAGGACAGAAATATGGCGTTTTAATGGACAAACATTCGTCCATATGGCCAGATAGAAGCACAAATACCGACGCGCCCTGCAAACAGCGGGTATACGTATACCCTTTAATATATATACACAAATCAAACAGAAGCCAAGCAGCGCTCACAATTCAATTTCAGCATTGAAATCAGATACTCCACATAGTCGCCTGGTGGGCTAGTGGTGAGCCCCTTTGGTCGGAGTTAGGATGTAGATGTTTAGAATTTCGCACAAGGTACAAATCTGTTAACGCTTTGAAACCGCAGACAGCCACCGGAATGTTGGCGCAGCCACTGCGCTTTAGTTGCACATGGATCTGAGATAAGAAAATACTCAAATTGATGGAAATTACCGTTTTTTTACTAAATCTTTTTTGGCCCATATCTATATATCTGTATTCACCTGTTAGCGTAATTTAAAAATTCTTTTATGTTCCAAAAATTACTTTTTAATTCGATCAATTGGGTAATTTATTGGTAACTACGCATTCATAATGTTTAAATATTTACTAGTTTTTATAAACAACACTACAAAATAACTTAATAATTTATGAAACCCAATACTCATATTTAATTCTTTTAAACTCAATTGAAACACGTTTTTCTTGCATTTAGAACCACTGTTTTGCTAGTTTTTCATTTTATTCAAAGCGTAATGCAAAGTACGGAAGGTAAATATATATGATTCGACTATTTTCGAGTCTGACATTGTCAAGCCGGTATTATTCCCTATTATAGAGCAGAACCGGTCGGGGAAAAGAAAGTCTGAAAAAAATACATGGAAAGGAAATGACTATTTATTTTATAAATTGCATTTTCTACGCCATTTGCCAATCGTCAAATTTCCATTTCCCTTTAGCCCATTTAAGCCGCTTAGCCAATGGCCTTAACTTTGGTGCCGAAATTGGAAATTGCATTTGACTAATCCACACCCCCAGTTTTTGTAACAACTCGATAAACTTCTTTTTTGAATTGATTTATTTGAAATATACTTTAACATTTAGATTTTGATTTCTGAATTATTTTGTACATAAGAATCAATAATAAAGTGTAATTTATTTAAACGTTATTCATACGAATAAGTAATGAACAAAGCGACAATATTTAATTGCATTTGAATATGGAAGAAAGTAAAGACAAATGTTTGTATTCTTCACTTATTTGGATAAATTATCGCTCCTATTTTGATTAGTTCGAATGTACTTTAGGGCTGGGATGCCATGCGAATCCTGGCCGTGGCCCTTGACTTTGTGTGTATTTCAGCCGTTCGCAGCGTGATGCCAAAGATGTCCTCATGGTAGCGACTTTCATCCTAGAAAAATCGAAAAAACAGTGCAACACAATGTATGTAGATTTAGTGTCATCAAATGTTGGTTTACACTACATTGTTCAAAACTATTTTTATGCTTGCATGGAAATATTGCTCATACGCAGAGTGTGGCAGGAAGGAAAACCTTCACTGACGGTATTTATAGCTAAAGCTCCGCCCTTACCGCTAAGGATACTTACCCGCAGTGTTAGCAAAAATGTCTCAACTTCCGCCTCGCTTTTCTGCTCTTTGCCGGCAATGCACTTCCTGCCAAAGAGAAAGGAATATGTAAAAGTTAAAGTGTGTGTAGAAAATACGGAAAAATTCTGGAAAAATGTTTATTTATTCGCACAGGGATATGTAACGTAATCTATAGGGACAGTAAGGGAATAAGTGCTTAAAGATTTATAAAGTGTCGAGTTGAAAGCGCAGCTATGCAGCTATATTTTGAAAAATATGTTAAGGAATAATGATTTAACTTTATGACTTTTCTCAAATTATTTTATTAATTATATTAATTTAATGATATAAAAACAGACTCGCATCGGCATTTAATATGCTTACGGTTTTTTGTTTACATGGACATTATTATCCTTCATAATTACCAGACTTAAATAAGAAATTATATGAATATTCCTGGAAGAAGACCTCTAATTAGCAAACGCAACAGATGGGCTGCTGCCCCAGGATATTGTCTCGTTTCAATTAAACTAAACCGCTTAAGATTACGAGTAGGTCCCCATTGAAGTCCGTCCTTAAGGACTGCGCCATTATGCAATATCCTGTGTGTATGGATAGAGACAGCCCAGCCCGTATTTCACAATAAGGCACTTAATCAGGAGCTTTGAAAAAATGCGAGCCAGAGAAACGAAATATAAAAGCCAAGCGATGGTAAAATACCTGACCGATGAGCATTGGAAAACAGAGAACTCCCAGTGGTGTTCCTGGGGGAGGGGGTTGTGTGCCCACGGAAAGAGCAGCAACGCCCACTCTTTTGCCCAAACACACAAAGGCAATCAAACTTAAGGCAGA